CCCACTTGTCTTTATTTTGAACAATCAATATGTTTCAGCTTACAAAACTTATAAAAATGTACTAAACCATTGTCAAATCAATACAATTTTTCTGGGTCTCTTTTTGCCATGAATGTGTACTATAGTATTGTATGAACTACTAGTATCATATCCATCAGACTTTTATCTCTGTCTAGAGACTTTGAAAAAGATTTATGAAATTGACAAGCCTCCTCACCACTTTGATGTACTCCTTGACAATATCCAGAAGTGGAAGTTTTCCTTCTGGTCTAAATATTGTGGGATTCCACTCAGCGGCCCGAGCTATCATAACAGAGGAACAGCCACTAGCCTGCTTAAATACAGCAATGTCCTCATACACCTTTATCTCCTTAGATCCACCACTAGAAAAGTAAATAAGAGTGCTGCATTGTAATTCCTAATTTGTTTCTCCTTTCCCACTTTCACTTTTTTTCATGCATCAAAATAAATAAACCCTTTCAAGGTAAGACAAGGTTAATTACCAATAATCTTGATTTTCAAATAACATTTGCCATATCTATGTAAGGCTAGCAGATTAAGAATACTGAACGGACGACACAGTAGAAATTTGGATGGAGATTTCACCTTTATGGGAACGAAGGGATTAAGTGTTATTGATTACTGTATATCTACCCCAGATGTTTTTGATCTTATTGAAAAATTCATTGTGTCAAACTTTACGACATTTTCTGATCACGCTCCATTACATGTACAGTTAAAAATTAAAGATTTCGATAAATGTGATGAAATAATCAAACACGCAAATACTCAAGGAACTCTGAATCTCGAATATTTAAGTGGAAGGCAGAGCATCTAGAAGAAGCCAAAATAGTCTTTTAACACATTTAGGTGTATTAGAATCCTGTATACAACATCCGGAGACTGAAAATCAAGAAACTATTGATAGATCTATTGATTTATTTACGACAGAAATATCTAAAGCCATGGAACCTTTCTTTGAGATTAAAATCAACACAGCAACACGGTATAGTAAAGAAAATTACTCATGTAGAACGCCCATTGATAAACCCTGGGTGACACCAGAATTGAAAAGAAAGTACCACGTGTATAAAACAGACCTTCGCATTTTTAACAAAAATAAAGGAACGGACACTCATCGTAAATTGCTCGAATCAAAGAGAGAATACAAGACTCTAACCGCAAAGCTCCGGAGAAACTACATGCGTGCTGAAGGGAACATGTTAGAATATTTACGTAAAAACAATCCAAAATCTTTCTACAAAAACTTCCATAAGAAAAATAAACAACAACAAGCAGTGATTAATCCTGATCGATTTTATGAACATTTTAGAGAGCTTGGAACAAACGTTAATGCCAGTGTCAGTGATATTCCGAGTGACGACGATACAGCCGTTTTCGAAGAACTTGACTGTGAAATATCTAATAAAGAAATACTTGACGCACTTACTAAGTTAAAGAGAGAAAAGTCTCACGGAACAGACTTGATTATTAATGAGTATTTCATTGAATTTAAAACTATCTTGCTGCCTATTATATATAATTTATTTAACAGAATATTCCATTCTGGTATTTTTCCATATATGTGGACAAAATCTATTCTTGTACCTGTATTTAAAAAAGGTGATGCAACCGATACAAATAATTACAGAGGAATTAGTCTACTCAGTTGCTTTTGTAAACTTTTTACTACTGTTTTAAATCAAAGATTTTTAAAATGGTCAAATGAAAACTGTGTTATTTCAGATGCACAATTCAGATTTCAGCCTAAACGTGGAACAGCTGAAGCAATATTTTGTCTACATACAATAATTAATCAATTATTAAGAAAGAAAAATAGGATTTATTGTTGTTTTATTGATTATACAAAAGCATTTGATACTGTACAACTCGCACAATTATGGCACAAACTTAGTTTGTATGGAATTAAGGGGAAATTACTTGGCATTATCAAGTCAATGTATTCTAGTATGAAATGTTGTGTAAAATATGCAGGAATGCTATCCGAATTATTCAAGAACAATAACGGACTTCTGCAGGGAGAAGTTCTGTCTCCTATTTTATTCTCTTTATATGTAAACGACTTTGAATTAGTCTAGAGTTTTTAAAACAAGGAAATGTGCCAGTTGATTTACAAGAATTGAATTTATTTGTTTTAATGTATGCAGATGATATGGTTATTTTTTCAGAATCGATAGATGAGCTTCAAAGAATGCTAAATACACTATATGATTATTCTACGAAATGGAACCTGTCTGTTAATGTATCGAAAACAAAAATTGTTATTTTTAGAAACGGAGGTAAAATACGTAAGGAAGAAAAATGGCATTTAAATGGTGAACCAATTGAAATTGTTGACCAATTTATATATCTTGGCGTACTTTTGAACTATAATGGAAAATTTAATAATACACAAAAACAGTTGACAATCCAGGGTAGAAAAGCTGTTTTCAATGAAATCAAAAATCAACCAAATGTGTCTAAATACTGAGACAATGTTTTCACTTTTTGATACTTATGTTGCAAGCATATTGAATTATGGTTGTGAAATATGGGGTGGACACAATGCTGGTGATATTGAAAAAGTGCACTTGGACTTTATTAAATATGTTTTAGGTGTTAGAAGGAGCACAAATACTGCCATGATTTATGTTGAAACTGGTAGACTACCTATGAAAATTGTTCGCATTTTTAAATTTTGGTTCAAGCTGTTAAAAACTGACAATTGTATTTTGAAAATGTGTTATGAATATTTGTTCAATGAATGTGAATATTCCGGCAGACACTCTGATAATTGGGTTGTAAATATCAAACAAAAACTTTATGAACATGGACTAGGATTTATCTGGCTTGAACAAGACAAAGAAATGATTTATAAACAATTTCCTGTAAGCAAACAAAGAATAGCAGATAATTTCATACAAAACCTCATGGCAGAAATTAATTGTTCAACAAAATGTATTTTTTACAGACACATGTAGATTATTTAACCTTGCAATATTATTTAAGAAAGTCAATACCTAATCTTTATGAAAAACAAATAAGTAGAATAAGAATGTCTTCCCATAACCTTGCAATTGAAACTGGCAGGCATATAAATATTGTGAAGGAATTACGATTTTGTGAATTTTGTAAAAATATCATAGAAGACGAATTTCATTTTATTTTAATTTGTCCCCTATACAAGGACTTGAGAAGTAAATATATTAAAAGATATTACTGGAAAAAACCATCCGCATTCAAACTAGTCCAATTATTAAGTGTACAAAACTTTTTCTGAGCTTTGTAATTTAGGTAAATTTCTGCATTTAGCTTTTAAGTTAAGAGATGAAAAAATGTGATTCATTCTTCGTTTGTCCAATCATTATTTCAGTAAATTTATTAACATTTGTTATGTGATTCAAAGTTTTTATATCTAATGTATAGACGCGCCATACCAAGTGACTTCATTATATAAACTAGGCGCTGTTTTTTCATGTATTGATACCATACCATACCAATCTGTTTTTTCTCAATTATATTTGTCATAAAACTGTGATAATACGTATGTATTAAGCAATAAAGAATAATAATCCATATATATGTATGTTAACTTCACAACAACTGTATTACTTACTTGGCAATGACTGGTATAGAGAGAGTTTCTGATATACTGTAGTCTTCATAACTTACTAATAGCAATGAGTGGTATATAGAGAGATATTTTTGATATAGTCTTGATGACACCATTACTTTCTTAGCAATGACTGGTATAGAGAGAGTTTCTGATATAGTTTTGATGACATCATTACTTACTCAGCAATGACTGGTATATAGAGATATAGTCTTGATGACATCGATACTTACTTAGCAATGACTGATATAGAAAGAGTCTCTGATATAGTCTTGATGAGATCATTACTTACTTAGCAATGACTGGTATAGAGAGAGTTTCTGATATAGTCTTGATGACGTCATTACGATTAGGATGTCTTGGTCTCTCCTCCTTTGTACGACCATGGACACCTATTGCCGACACACCTGTACTCTCTATTAGTCTAGCTAACTTGAGTGTATCCTCCAACTGAAATTTAATTCTTCTATATAAATTAAGTAAATCTGATTGGTTACAAAGATGCTTCAAAAAGACATAATGTTACCCTCTGAGAACAGAAACAACAGCTGCATTGATGCTTGTGTATTGTGTATGCCTGTTAAATATTGAAATTTTTCATTCTCAGAAAACCAGAGCTAAATGTGGGATGGCCAAGTTCGACAAATGAAGTAAAAAATAACTACTTAAACTTTATTTTCTTTGTTAATTATATTTGCTGGATTGCTGTACATACGTTTGGAAAGACTCGGATCTTGCATGTGACAGGAACTGATAGTCCATTAACAAGGGTGGTCAGAATCTAAACAGAAAAAAAAATCAGAGGTGTTTGTTTTAATGGTCAAGCATATCATCCATTAGAAAAATACATACGGTAAATTCTAAATCTCCAAGTAAGGATTAAGAGTCATTGGATAAGACAGAAACTCAAAAAGACATAAAAAATCTATGTAAGATGGAAGTTATCAAAACATAATTTGTTATAACAATCTACTTTTTTTTTGGTTAAACTGACCTCTTTGACCTTTTCTGGTTGAGTAAGTAGAGCAGCTCCCATTCCTCCCTGATAAATAACAGTAAAATGTGTTATAGGGGTAAAACGAGAGGACCACGGGTAACATTGCTAACATGTCATCTTTACAGAGAATGAAATTCCATAAGTAGTTGTAGATGTTTTAAAAAGAAACTCAGACTATTACTTTGATTAAATAAAGATTAAATTATTTTTGTAATGTATATAATAAGAAAATAGTCGTTTAGTAGGGAAACTGCTCACCTTTATTGAAAATTCTTTTGGACAACCCATATTAACATCAACACCAGCAACCAGGTCTTGTCTGTCAAAAGGCATGAGAAAAAAAAAAATAAAATATACATTCAGCTCCTTGAAACTCACATATATGCACAAAAAGATATACACAAGTATTTTTCTCATGTGTCTTAATTTTGTTCTTCGAATCTATGATTCAATAAATAAAGATAAACAATCTTTATTTAAAAAAAAGACCCTATTATACTCTTATGAAATATACTCTTCAAAAAAAGAAACGCATAGTAGGAACAATGCCCTGAAAATTTGTTATAGTTTTGTCATACCTTTTATTTTTGTGTGGATACGATGTATTCGAGTGAAATAAATGATTTTATAATGCAATTGTTAACTTTACAGCTATTCTACAAGTCTCACAGACAAAAAGACCTGATTTTGCAAAATTTCCCCCAAAATTTTGATCTCAATTTTCATTTGTTGAATTCCGATGCAATTCCTTCAGATACAAAGGGGCTATCAAAAGCGGGGGTTCTCGATATTTTGAATCTGGTTTTATCTGAAAAATGACGCTTCCTAAAATTGCTGCATCTTATTGTTGTGTGGCACAAAAAGGAAAATGGGCGACTGGAAGCAGGGGTACCGCAATCTACAATTGCAAGAGGTTTTAATGTTACACGCAGACCATATCTAACCTATAAAACATAAACCATTAACATCGAACACCCAATGTTCGCAAAAAATATGGTAGACTACGAGTGACATCAGCAGCACAGCATCACTTCCGAGGATTACGCAAATTGCATGAATGTAATGCAAGGACGTCATCTAAAGCAGTAGGTATCCCTGAACTGCACAGATCATCTAACAAGACCGTTTTCAGTTGACTACGAATTATTGCAAGAGGATTATTCATGCCATTGTTCCGACCCCACAACACCCCAAATATCGACTTCAAAGATCTCAGATGAATAGAGTATGACCACAACATCACTGCTGAACATTTTGGTTAACCTGCTTGTCCAGAATGTTTATCTGAAAGCCTCTTATAAGTTTAAAAGTGCTAATGCTTTTTAATGAAGGTTAGATAGATAACTGCCTCCAGGACGTTAAAAAAGTTGGTGGTGGTAGTGTAATGATATGGAAAATGGTATTATAAGAAAGTAAGATTGATTTGGTTCGAATTCAATGGATTTTGATGGAAAAAGGTACTCTAACCATATTCAACCTACACATACCCATTCAATTTTGCAGCATCCTAGAGCCGTATTGCAATCTCACATTACACAGCCACATATGGCTCGTTTGACACACCTATTCTTCCAAAGAAACAACAACCTGTTTCAGTCACAGTCATCTAAATCGCTAGATTTAATCCAAATTAATCAGCATTGGACAAAATGGATTGACATGATTTGCCAAAGACAATCGCATCCCCAGACTCTGCAACAGCTGACTAAAGTTCTTCATTTGGAGTGGGAGAGTATTCCTATACAGTTTTTATTACACACATTTGCTTCCATTAGATGCCGTTTGTGGCTATCATTTGTGTCTGCGGGGGGCATACCAGATATTGATCTTTAATGGTCTTAAACTGACTATAATTTTAAAATTGTTGAGTAATTATGACATTTAGATAGTATTCCTGTCGCTTACCACATTTCTGTTTTATCAATGCATCATTTTACATAATAATCTTTATGTTCAATGTGTCACTTAAATTCTACGATGCGTTTCTTTTTTTGAAGAGTATAGTTATTTAATGATACATCTAAATCAGAATTAACTTACATTTTCTGAGCAGCTTTCAGTGCTCTTTTGGCATCTGCTGTGCCCTAAAGATAAACTCTTCAGTATTATACAACTTACTTCTTTCTCACAAGAATTGAACAATATACAGTGTTGTTAGCTGTAATCCAAATATCCTTACTAATAGAAACTCAAGGAATGAAAAACGAAAAAAAAAAAAAAAGAAGCCACAAGGATTGTATACAATATGAAGTAAAATAATTGACAATACTTGTGAAACACTTACTATTTGAAAGATAAGTTTGTCTTTTTCCTCAGGAAATGTCCTAAAAATGATGGTTCCATCACTCAAAACAAAATCCACTGTTCCAAGTGCAGCTTTACCCCAAAAAATTGAACAAGATGAAAAGTTACATTTTAAAAGAAGGAAACAATTCGCACTGAACAGATATTTTTTTCAGGCAGATTGCAAACAGGATTTGAGCCCATATTGATTTTCATTAATTGACTTAAGAAAAAGCAGAACTCTGGCTTATCATGATAATATACTAAGTTTAATCTAAAAACCATGAGCAGATATTTTTAAAGAAATAATGCATATTCACTAAGTGATACATGTAAACAGAGTAGTAATACCAGAATCCCTGACACAGTCGAACAGAAATTCAGAATTTTGGAAATGGTCATCTTATTTATATACTTTTGTTTGTTTGATAAATATACAGGAAGAAGATTATTGTAGAATTTATACATTTCCACTATACAGTCAGTAGGGGGTTCCATCCTTTCACTAGATTCTGCAGAATTCTGGTAAAGCCAAGAGTTTGACTGCTTGTTCAAAAGTAAAGAAGGAGTTTTTTTTTGAAGACTGGATTAATTTTGTGGTTTTTATCATATTACCCCACTCCTCTGGCACCAAAATGAAATGATGGGGAGGGGGGGGGGGGGTTAATTTTGTTTCAATGTGCAATGTCAAAATTGGTTCAGCAGTTCCATAACATAATTTGAATGGTTAAAATGTTAATTCATGATACATTGAATGACTGACAAATCAGAGTGAACTAAGGTGATAATCGTGACATAAAAAAGTTTAAGAGTTAAGCAACTAAGATTAAGAGGAACTCTTAACTAAGATATGTTAAAGTCATGTTGTTGAATAAAAACAGAGAGAAAAAAAATAATACTCAGGTTTCAATAAAAAAAACTGTTTTTAAATTTATTATTTGTATTCTTGACATTCCAAATAAAATACTTACCATTCTCAATTCTCTTTGACTTGAGAATTTTGAAGTCAATAATTTCCTAAAAATATGCAGTATAAATATAAGTTCAGGATTTTAAAAGAAAAACACAACATGCACGAAAAAAAAAATTTTCTGAACTGTTTTCCATCGGATGGTTAACATGTTTTGATCTTTGATGTGAAATAAATTGCCCAATTCTCATTGATGTTGATGTTATTAGAAACTTAAGTATGGTAATCCTTAGTGGGACATTTTAATGCAGATATTGAACAATAATATTTGAGACAGAGAGAAAAAACCTTACCTCACAATATACCAAGTCTGCCCCGTATTTCACAGCAAGTAGCCTCATGGGTAAAGTTCCAACCCTGACCATTGGGGCAAGCATGGTCTTATTCTTGTACAAGTCAGAATTTTTTACCATGTTTCTGTTAAGATATGCAATATCTTTAAATGCAATTACATCATTTTGTATTCAACTTCAAGTATAGCCTATCTTCTTTTGAGCTGCATAAGATCTTAATTGATTACAGAACTAGATTTTCAAAAAATCAAAATATTGTATATAGTTTACATATGTTCAAATCTCCCATCTACTTTACCTGAATTTAGTAGAAAATAGGTTTTACAACTGAAAATTTCTTTGACACATCTCATTTCATGGGCGCAGACATCTTGGTCAGCGTTTCTTAAACGTACTATTGATTTGTCAAGAAAAACATTACATTCAAACACTTAAGAGACGTAAATGCTTGTACGCATGCGTCCAAAGATTTTTCTTATGGCGGCTTATTTACACATGTGAAAGTAAAGAAAAACTAGAAAGGTAAATTATGCTTTTAATTCACTTGTAGTCACGTTTGCCAGCTTTGTTCGGTACTGATAATGATCAGCTGCAGTACTTGGATAATGCAGAACAAATTTATTTGTACATAATGACATGAGATGAAAGTTTGTAAATGTCTTTTTTTTATTTAGAGAATGGAAACAGATGTGGCTGACTTCTCTGATCTTCAGCAACAAGCAGAGCACCTGACAGCTGAATTTGACAGTGCCTCTGACCTGCCACGAGTGAACAGAAACATTGCCCAGATCCTAGAGGCAGGGTCCCGACTTCTGTCTAAAGTTGCTCCAATCAGTCAGGATTCCACTGATGTCAGAGCGTATGTCGAAATAGAAGCACTAATTAAATTAATATATATTTATAAATTGCTCGTTATTCATTATATACATGTAAATCATTTCCAGCATGAGTTCTTTTTTTATTGCCACTAAAGTTTGATGTGTTATACTTTGTTCTTTTAGGTCTATATTGCTTGGCACTAAAGGATACGATGTCCCCAAAATATCTCAGAAACTAGAAGGATTAAGTGCCGCCAAAACATTTGAACCTCTTGAACCTGTAAAAGACACAGACATTCAAGTAATTAGCTTTATCATTTATTTCTGTATTTCCGAATGATGTAAGCAATTCCCTATCTTTTTATTTACTGTTCTTTATACAAATAATTTAATATTTGTTCATGTATTTTTAGAGTTTTCTCAAGAATGAAAGAGAGAATGCTTTATTGGCAGTCATAGAGCAAACACGGAAACACGTAAGATGAATCTTGAAGTGAATTTTGAACCTGCATTCCTATAACAGTTGAATTTTTATTTTTAATGTTTTACTCTTTTCTACCTCATAACTTTTGAAGACATTTGAGGAATCTGAAAGGAGACACTGGGAATGCATGGAGAATGAGTGGGAGAGAGAAAAACAGAAGATCCTGAATACTCTACGAGGATTAAATCAGGACACAACAGATTTACAACCAGAGGCAGAGGTAAAAGAATGGCTTTGTATGCAAACTGCAAGTAGTCTAGATAATGGTAAAATTTGCTTTTAAATTTAAATTTAAGTGTATAAATTTACAAGGGGCCAATTTCATTTGTCACTGATCGGTGTACGCCAAATTGCGCCGGTCATATGACTGGCGTAAAATGGCTAAGAGGCAGATTAAGTTAACCAGCAAAAACATTTTTAAAAAATGAATAATTACGCTAAATGATAATCAATTAATGAAGTTTTATCACTTTTTACATTATGTCTTAGTAGAATAAATCAAAATTCAATTAAAAAAGAACCATGGACCTCATGAATAATTTTATTTTTAGAAAATAAAAACATAGTTTAAATATATGAATAGAGATTTGCTCAAAATATGCAAACAAATAAAGAACATGTCGATTTGGTAGGAAGTATCTGCATTTTCACAGTTGTTTTCCCTTCCTGCCATATTTCTAACACCGGCGATTTCCTCGCCGGTCATTTTAGACTGGCGAGATCAGCGTACGCCGGCAAACCTTCCCCGATCAAACGAAGCAGCAATCCGGGTTACGAAAGGTCAAGTGGTGCATTCGGCGTGCGCCAGTATGACAAATGAAATCCTACCAAGACTTACCATTGTATGTCCTTTTTTATTGACAGAGTTTTGCAGTAGATCCTGTTAGTATGCATGGCAGAAGCAATTTAAATAACATAGAGATGGCATATGCTAGACAGGTTTGTATTGAAAATCAAGTGGACAAAGTTTATTTAAATGTTCAACTGGCTTAAAATGTCACAAAAATCTTTTTGTATTATTAAATTGTTAAAGAAAGAGTAAAGCTTGATTTCTTGAATTATTTTGTACATCTTTACTACATTATGAATTAGTTTTCTTAATTTTCATATGTTGATTGATAGGTGTACATGTACAATGAACAAGTTTTACAAGGCAGTATCCGACCAAACTTAGCTGAGGCTTTCTCGGAGGTTGCTAACAGTCTGGATGATAAGGTATGCT